TTTTTTTGAGAAGCATTACTGATATTGCATCATACAAATCTCTCTCTAAAACTAGACAAAATAACATTTGAATCAGACTTCACACAAATCCCTGACAATTAAAATACTCTAAATGACAATAAATAAGAGCCAAGACAACCATTTTAGTTATAAACATATTTGATGAAATAATTCTGCAGCCACAGAACCGCATTTCATTRGACAGGAAAAAAGTTTTATATAAAAATCACTTAAACATTTTTCTAAATCACTTCTCCTATTTTCTACCACATGGAGGAATTGATAACAACTTTCATTCAAAAGAAAAGGGAATGAACGATATGAGAAGATGCTATAATGTAGGGGCACCTAAGCTGAAAATAGGGTGATGTAATAAATATATGTGATGCAATTGCTTGGGCTGAGAAAAGGGAAACAACAATCATGTTTTTCTCTAGGCCTGCATAGAACTTATATATGTCTATGCAGGGTGATGTAGTAAACATATGTGATGCAATGGATATTTATATTGTCTGATTACCATTCTATGTTATTAGTGTGATGATGCTATTAATATATACTTGTCAGGTCTGATCTGGAAGCTGTTTTAATTGCAACCTTTGATGCTATTTTTCCTTGAAAGAATGCTGAAACTGGATTGAGTTCACAACAGTACATCATCCGTGTATTTCTTAATGCTACAAAATTTTCCTTCAGCAGTRCCACCATTCCGGCTAACCTCTGCAAGAGAGAGTCCACAATGCCAAGATTATGTAATTCCTATCATCCAGATTATCATTCAGATGTTTTGAAGTTGGATGATGGAGAAACAACACTTAGGCTTTGACATCTTTGAAATTTGCAAGTTTAATGGCATCTAATTCCGCTTTTGAATTTTTTGATTGTTTTAGTTTAAGAGGAGGAACTAGCCTAATTATAAAATTAATTGAAGCATGGATTTTTCATAGATTTGATGCCTCAAAACTTAGACCCTTGGTTAGTATCTCTTGGCCTTTAAATTTAGTYTATTTGTATCAAATGTGTGGCGAGCTTGATATGCAAAGAAATCATAATTACTGTGGTATTTGGCAATATRCAAAGAAAAGACCCAACATCTTAGATATGCTTTTGCATCTTACTATGGTGGAGAGCACAAAACTAAATAGATCAAAATGATTTAAGTGGGGAGTCCAGACAAAATATAAATGTTTGAATGAGTCTAAATTTTGTTTAC